GAATTTTCTTCGTTTTTATTTTTGTTAAAATTACAAGGTTGAATGCATTTAAAAGCATTATTTTTAAATTTTCTATGATATCAACAAATATTGAATCTCAATTTCGCAAATTGAGGCTGAGTGAAGGTAACTTCACAAACTGTACCAATATAGAACGCTTTTGGGATCAAGTAAGTTTAAGTAAGAATCGATTGGGTGAAGCGGCTTTTGGAGAATTGTGTGATTTAGGTCATAACATTTTTAGTCTGCCTCACAGTTCCGCAGCAGCTGAGCTAAAATTTTTTGATTTAGCATTAATAAAAACGAAATTAAGAAACATATTATAATTTAAAACTTTAAATATAATAATGTTAATAATATACAATTGTAATGCACATTGGATGCAATATAAAAAAATCGTTACAAAAATTGAATTGGCATTTTTTCTTATAAAGAGGAATAAACTCCTCTCAATTTCCCGATGTAATAAAAATTGGTTCATTTTTTACCATTTGGTCCATTTTTTGGTCCGAAACATTAAATGGGAATGGCAACCGTGGTTAGAAATTGTTTGATTATCACCAGAGATGGTATTTTGATACTTCATGACGGAAGGAAACCCACGTACATTTCGCTTGGAGTTTACGAAATCATAAAACGATTTGGGGTTATATATTATACGTCGTTTGATTTTACACAAGTAAGCTTTATAACACTTTTTGTTTAAATCAAAGAACTTGTGACGCAATAGTGTGTATTACATAGTATGAGTGTAAACCGGTTTTTTTGTGTAATCTAAAATAACGTGACTTTCTGTTTTTCAAATTTCTCAGTTCTTTAGTGAACCATAACTGTGTTTGTTCTTCAGGAACCTACATGCGTTTAGGCACATACTTTTCATATAATTGATGTACAGTAAAATTAAAATGGGCAATGCTCTGCTCAACCTTGTTTTATGTATATAGGCCACGACAATTTAGACAATTCTTTAACCAGTTTTTTAAAGTTGGCTTTTGAAAAATCAAAGCGAATATTTGGTTCGTATGTTTGGATACCGCGATTTTGACCATTGTTTATAATTTCGTAAGATATCTCGATAGCAAGGTGGTAGACATCTTCGGGCAAAACTAGTGGGTCACATTTATTTACAGCGGACTTAGATGCATCATCAACATAACCAAGATCTAATACTTTGCCAAACTTATTGCGAAGTGCATTAACTTGATTTAGGCAGAGTTCAGCCATCTCCTCTGAAAATACGTTGTTGCACGCACTAGACGAGAAAGGTACGATATCATTGTCCATGATGTTCCATGATACATTTAGCAAATTAAAGTCACCCAACACAATCATTGAATCAGAGGTAAAGAGACATGTTGTGAATACACCGATGAGTCACCCCCTTCCAACCTGTATAGGAATGCAATTGAATTCTGCAGATTCAATGTGTGGAAGACTAACGTCTTCAGATGGTATTGAAGAGTCAACCGGCAAAGAGTATGCCACCGACGATTCTGTCCTCCCGATCTTTTCTGTAGATATGATAATTATTGGAAAGAATCTCTGAATTAAAAATGTGAGGTTTGAGCCAAGTTGAAAGAAATTATATTATAATTGCATTCAAGGCCATTAGATATAAGTTCGTTAATATAGTATTTAAGCCTCTTACGTTTTGATAATACATACTTAAAGCAGTTTTAGTATTTACTTTTTGATTCCAGTATTCTGACGGGGAATATTTGCTAAATTATTATTTTTGTTGGACCTATACTCAAATTCACGAACGAAAGCTCTGGAAGGCCAAAAATAACTACTAAGCAGCATATGAAAATTTTCTAAATTTACGTAAATTTTAAATGAAGAAATATATTTTTCATATTTAAAATAAAATTTTCCGATACTTAAGTTGATAGTTTTGTTAAATTTGGACGAGATGTAAAACTTTATATCGTCTTCGGAAGTATCCCTCGAAAATCTAGAGACAAATATAGACTTCTTTGGGGGAACTATATCGTATGTTGATCATTTTAATTATTGATTTAATTTTAATTTTAAGTACAAATATTTTAATGTTTTAACATTGAAAGTTTATTTATTGAATAATCAAAAATTTTCTTTTTGATAACAAACAAATTCATTGACCCATAAATTGAACATAAAGAATTTAAACAAGTATAAAAACATATAGGTAAAATACCCTACATATACTCCCCCTAATATATCGTGTTATGATATAAAATTAAAAAAAAATAATATTTCCTTCTTGTTTGTTTTGTAGAAAGTTTATTTATTGAATAATCAAAAATTTTCTTTTTGATAACAAACAAATTCATTGAACCATAAATTGAACATAAAGAATTTAAACAAGTATAAAAACATATAGGTAAAATACCCTACATATACTCCCCCTCCAGTAAAACAATAAATTAATTAATGTTAAATGTTATTTTGTTTTTTGTTTTTGGAATTGTTAGTGAGGTAGATTTTTTTGTTGTATCAGAAATTATATTTGCAGGTTTGAGTAAATCTATTGAAACCATTTTAATCATATTTCCATGTTGAATTTTGAATACTCTGTCATTTTTCGAAATAATTTTAAATGGTCCTTCATAAGGTGATTGCAAATTTGACTTGTGAATAACTTTAACAAAAACGTACTCACAAGTATCCAAATTTTAGGAATAAAAGAGTATTCTTTATTGTGATGTACAACCTTTGATCTAACATTTGAAAAATATTTTCTTAGCTTAGAAAGAGTTTCATTTGTATTATCAACTTCATTGGTATAACTGTTCGTAACAACTAATTCACCTGGTAATCTTAATGTTTGTCCATAAACTAATTCTGCAGAAGAGCATTTTAAATCTTCTTTAACAGACGTACGTAATCCTAATAATATCCAAGGAAGAATTTCAGACCAGTGAGTAGAATCCTCGGAAGCAGTAATAGCAGTCTTTAATGTCCTATGAAATCTTTCAATCATTCCATTTGATTGAGGATGATATGGGGAGGTATGAATTTTGTCAGATCCTAACAATTTAGTTAATTCTGTGAACAATTTTGATGTAAACTGTGATCCTTGATCTACATTATATAAAGTGAAATGCCAAAACGAGGAACGTAATTTTGAACAAATGTTGTTGCTATAGAATTAGCTGAAATATCTCTAAGTGGATATGGCTCTGGCCAACGTGTATGTCTATCAATGATAGTTAAAATGTAACGATTTTCTTTTGACACAGGTAATGGACCAACAAGATCCATATGAATATGTTCAAATAGTCCAGATGGAATGTTAATTTTTTGCACAGGCGTCTTAGTATGTTTAGAAATTTTTGATTTTTGACCACTTATACAAGTAGAAGTCCAATTATTTATCTCTTTGCGCATATTAGGCCAAAAATATTTTGATTGAATCAAACGCCTAGTTGTACGTACACTTGGATGTGATAAAGAATGAATTTTATCAAAAATGATTTTTCTCATAGAATTGGGAACAAATGGTCTAAAAGGTTGTTGAGAAATATCACACCAAATATTAAGATTAAGTACTGGAATATTAATTTCTTTTAAATTACTGTTGGAATTTTGGTCAGATATTATGTCATAAAGTGTTTGATCTTTTTGTAGTTCCTCGAATAATGTTTGAAAATTTATGTCTTGGGCTAAAATCATGTTAACATCTGGAATACGTGAAAGGGTATCAGCAACTATGTTTTCTTTTCCAGAAATGTATTGAATGTCGTCTGTAAATTGTGCAATGTACTCTAAGTGTCGAATTTGTCGAGGTGATCTGTCTGATTTAGAATTTAGAATATGTGTTAAAGGTTTATGATCAGTATAAACAGTGAATGTTCTACCTTCTACAAAATGTTTAAAATGTTTAATTGAATTGTATATTGCTAAAAATTCTCTGTCAAATGTGGAGTAATAAACACAA